ACTAAATATACCAATGAGACGCATAAACTGTAACTTTCCTCCAGTATATTCTATTAGACTATCAGCTGTAAAGTCAAGAATGTGTAACTTGATGACAACACATTTACTTGTTATTCTAATATGCTTCACAACTGATTGTCTGTATTCTTGGGGGAGCAGCTTTTTAATTAGTTCATACAATCCTTCAATATTTATGTCGTTCCAGCAAGTTTGCAGTTCCATATGAATGTAAGGCAGATTATCCACATTTCTATCAATAGAATAATACTTTTTGACAAGAAAATTTTTAAATGCAGAAACTGTGTTTGATGTACGAAGCCTCTCACTTTCCTCCAAATGGTTTCTTAATTCATCAACTAGTTTATAAGTTACTCCATCATCAGTGAATGTTTCATCTGGCAGGAACCTTATGCTCATGTCCAGTAACAGTTTACAATCAATGAAGTCGTAATAAGGTTTAATTTTATTTAAAATATCCTCAAGATTGCTATCTACTGAGCCACGTTTCCACTTCATGTGTGCTATAAGCCACTTAGATACCTGAGTAGCTAGTTGACTGTTGTGATTAGATTTTTCTTCAAAATGTGTTTCAAAAATTGTAACTAAATCTGAAAACTTCTGATGTAAGTCGTCTAAAGACTTATACACTTCCTCTTCACTTTCTTTACATATGAAAGGATCAGTTAGATTTATGTCATGAGAGGTAGCACCTATTAACATAAGATATATTTTGTTACTCAATAAAAGCCATTTAGATACATCAGTTGCTAGTTGACTGTTGTGATTAGATTTTTCTTCAAAATTTCTTTCAAAAATCATAAATAAATCTGAAAATTTCAGATGTAAAGCATTCAAAGACTTATAAACATTCTTTTCACTTATTTTATTTCTAAAAGGAGAAGTTATGTTATGACCACCTATTAATATAAGAATGATTTCATTATCATTGCTCAAAGTAGCATGCAGCAATTATACAGCACACCAATAATTTAATTGTTACCTGCACTGGTACTTATGCTACTTGCTGAATGAGATGCTAGCACGGAAAATTCACTGATTGATGTGTCTTCAATCAATCCTATTTCATAGTATAATTTCTTAATTTATCAGCTCCTGTAACTCACTAAGGTTAGACCTTGCTTTGCCCAGTTGATCAGGAAAGTCATCACACAGTTTTATTAATGTATCCCAATTGACATCTCTATCAGCATCAAACCACCTCTGGAATACCAAATTAAGATTGATACTTGCTGTTCCTGGTATTTGTTGGAGATCAGCTGTATTCACATGCAATCCAGCTCCTATGGTCATGCAATGGTGAGAAGAAGAACTAAATATCTTCATGACTGCTCCCATATCAAGCACTTTGTCTATCATAAATTAATAAGAAATAGAGGCTTTATGACTGTAAAAAATGAATTAATAAATAAAAATAAATATTGCATTATTTTCACAGTGATTAAAGTTATCACTTCCATGCACAAACTCTGATTACCTGATGTTATAGGACCAGGATTGAGTTCAACATCTCCTGATAAGAGGAGGAGCATACGTAGACAAACAATCAAATAGAGATCATTGTAAATCAGGTTAGAACTCCTGCCTCCAGGTAAGACTACTGACT